GTTTATTAATAAACGTGTCGAGACGTTGTACATTTGCTGTCATGTTAAACTTATATTAAAGTTTTTCTTCATTATCCATTTAAGCCGTCTCCAGCCATTATTAAACAAACTGAACTTTAGATTTCTTTCTTGAAACTTATTATATGTGCTATAATGTAAAATTCCTTTACAAGTGGTATGGATAGTTTTGTTTTTGACTTATTGAGATTTTTACCTATTATTATAAATATGACAATAGGTTTTATTATTATAAATATGACAATAGGTTTTTATTATTAGAAGTATGACAATAGGTTCTATTATTATAAGTATGATGGTAGGTTCTATTATTATAAGTATCATGGTAGGTTCTATTATTATAAGTATCATGGTAGGTTCTATTATTATAAGTATGACAATAGGTTCTATTAATATAAGTATGATGGTAGGTTCTATTATTATAAGTATGACAATAGGTTCTAATATTATAAGTATCACGGTAGGTTCTAATATTATAAGTATGACTAAGTTCTATTATTATAAGTATGACTAAGTTCTATTATTATAAGTATGACAATAGGTTCTAATATTATAAGTATGACAGTAGGTTCTAATATTATAAGTATCATGGTAGGTTCTATTATTATAAATATGACAATAGGATCTATTATGATAAGTATGACAGAAGGTTCTAATATTATAAGTATGACAGTAGATTATAATATTATAAGTATGACAGTAGATTATAATATTATAAGTATGACAGTAGGTTCTATTATTATAAGTATGATGGTAAGTTATATCATTATAAGTATCATGGAAGGTTCTATTATTATAAGTATGATGGTAGGTTCTAACATTATAAGTATGACAGTAAGTTCTATTATTATAAGTATGTTGGTAGGTTCTATTACTCAACCTATATGTCTTAACTCTTATTTTTAAAAATGTATAAAAAAGCTACTTGTACGTCTTGACCAGTGATGTAGTGAGAAAGGTTTTAGTGCTGGAACATCAAGTAAATTTTATAAATTTCCAATCCTTGAATCATACAAGCATGTGTAGGCAGCAATTCGGGCATTTACTTTTTGTTATTGCCAGATGCTTATCAGTTAAGTTTATATAATCAACTGGTATAATTAGTCATAATAATACAATTGATATATTACACAGGCCTGTGATGATTTTATTGTCATGAAATTTTTACACGTTCTATGGTAATTCCTGTATGCTGAATCCAAAAATGTTATTCGTTTTTCTCCATCACATACAAATTTTTCACGAAACATCATAACACAGTACATAAATGCAAGAACACAAGGTTTAAGTCAACATGGTCCCACAAAATATTTCCTGCACTCTAGGGGTATGGATACATTATAAGAGCCGTGGTGAAATCCCACTATTTGGCCTTACAAGAGTAGCCCTCGAGTAGCTGTACGCAACACTTAACACACACACAAAAACCATACTGGGTAATATTTCATTTATATTTTATAACTTGGGAGCACGCCATAAATGCTTAGCAAACTATGCAATAAAGCTAATCGATTATACATTGGTCAGAAAGTTTAAAAAGGTGGATGATCATGTTGTTATGTAGCTTTTTTTTCAGTTTTCTAGAAATAAGTGAATTTTACCTGCTTTTCTGTGTAGGTGGGTTCGAGAGTTTCTGAATGAAGGAAACAAGGGATTGGATGTTCTCATAGATTACCTGGCATTTAGGCTTGAAATCCTTAGGTAAGATGTAGTCAGAAACTATGTTCTTCGATTTCATTAGGACAGTATTTTGTGAAGTCTTATTTGTTAAATTACCCTAAGTAGCTTAGCAGTAAGCACTTATAATGCTAAAAATTGTGTTTTGATACGTGCCATGGGCACAGTACATATAGTTCATTGTGTATCTTCCTGCTTAACAACAAGATATGTTGGATCAAAAATAAACTTCATTTATTGCAATAGAAGTTATAAGTCACATAGTTTTAAACCTTGCATCACTGTTGCAGATATAACAACAGCTTAACAACAAGATATGTTGGATCAAAAATAAACTTCATTCATTGCAATAGAAGTTATAAGTCACATAGTTTTAAACCTTGCACCACTGTTGTAGATATAAACATCTATTTCCATCAGTAAGATCACTATAGATTCGTAAGGTGTTGAAACATAAAAATAAAAATTGCATAATTGTTCAGTAATAGGCTTTACTTAGAATGAATTAGTTTGAAATCAGTTGTCTTTTTTTTTTATTAAAACAAAACCATATGTACTGAAGGAAAGAAATTGAAATCACCAATAATTTAAATCAACACTTAGATATTACTCACATGATATTTAAAGTTTGGTTGGGTTTTTCTTGATGTTTCTTGTGAAACATTTTAGTGATGTAAGTATAGTGATGTAACATGATAATGTTCATTTGAAAAATTGAGATTATTGCTTTATGAAAAAGTATTGTAGCCATTGTGATTTGTCCTTGCTTTATTTCTAACAAGTGTTGCGTCTGAACCTTTTACCTCAAATTGATAGGCAAGAGAAAAGTTTGCAAGATTCGCCCACTGGCAACCACAAGAATGGAGTGATTCCTAATGGATATCCTGTGCCACTTCGATCTATCCAGGAGAAGGATGCTCCAAATATTAGAAAGGCATCCAGACATATAGCTAAGCTGAACATGGGTGAGGCTAAAGATGACATTCACTTGTGCATCATGTGTCTTCGTGCTATCATGAATAACAAGGTAGATTCACAAGTACATACATCTGTACGACTTCTTTATTTTCAGTTTGATTTCTAGTTTGTGTTCTTAACCCTTTCAGTGCTATCACCATATGAAATACAGTAGTCAGTGAGAAAGATATCACGGCGTAACATACAGGTTTATTGTTCCAAGCACTCTTTGAATTCATATTGGCACTGTGGTAACTAGTCAGAGTGTCAATATGAATTCAAAGAGTGGTGGAAAAAAATAAACCCGTATGTTACACAATGACAGCTAGCATTCTCACCAACTACTGTATCTCGTACAGTGATAGCACCGAAAGTATTAAATATACTGTGAATTTTGTAAAACTGTTAATATTTCATTTATGTGAGAATATAGGGAAGAAGAGCACTTTATTTATAGTGCTTGGTACTTTTTTGATGCCAAACACAAACTGGTAAACACATGAGGTGGTGGAAGAAATACAATGTTCTACAATCATTTGTTTTTTTGTGGATTTATTTATAATAATTGGTACTTTTTTGATGCCAAACACAAACTGGTAAACACGTGAGGTGGTGGAAGAAATACAATGTTCTACAATCATTTGTTTTCATACTTCTTCCTTCTATAACAACTCGTATGTTTCCCAGGATACTATACAATGTTACTGTGATATTAAATTCGAACAATTTGACCTTCTATTCAAGGCAACAGATGAAAGAATATTAAGAATCAAAGAGACTCTATTGGTCAGAAAGGCTTTCCAACCTGAAATAAATGTCAGGAGGACTGTTTTAACATGTTAAAGTTATTGGTATATTTTGTGTTAGTTTAATATGAAAAAAAAAGCCGATCCAAAACCCGGTTTTTAAATACACACTCTTCTGCAATACAAATATTGATTAGTAAAATATTATTTTTTTATTATTTAAAATAAAAAATTTACTCTGAGAAAACAAATTTTAAGACTGCATAATAAGGCAACTAAAAATATTACTAACCGTGAGGGTGCCTAACTGATGAAACAGTGCATTCTAATCTTTATAAGTAAGAACAATATAATCAATTAGTTATGTTCATTACCAGGTTGATTTTTAGTTTTGATCTAAGTAAGTGGCTTGGTTGGGAGTTAGTATTAATTACTCATTCCTACAAGGCCAACGTGAATAGTTTAATATATAGATTTAACTTGTATGGGGTCACAGTGACCCCATGTTAACGTTCTAGTATTATTAAGGTTTAAGCATTTATGGAACATTGATGTATTGATATTCTATTTGGAACCACCAGGGGATATTTTTGATAAGCTGTGCTAGTAGAACTTGTAAGTTTTGGATGGCACAAAAATTGTTTGTATAACTATGATGGCATATTTTAACTGGAGCCTCAGTTCTTTCAGAGTCTTATATATTGGTTCTCAAATTCTCTATTATTACAATTTCATTTTGTTCCACCATATTATTATCAATAGTTAAAGATACGTTTTTGATTTATTTTTGTATAAGTCACAAAGAAGCTTCTGAGTATGATTACTTTTGTGTAATATTTTCTCTTTATGACTGTAGTATGGCTTCAACATGGTCATAGAACACACGGAGGCGATCAACTGTATCGCTTTAAGTTTAAACCACAAAAGTCTAAGGTAAGTTGTATTTGTAGTTCAACAACTTATATCTGTGCATGTGTAGCTCATACCACTGTAATTGTAAGGTCTACACTACTGTTCGTTGGTAAGATTCAAACTGTCTTCATATTTTAATAGTTCATATCACTGTTTATATAGTTTGTGCCATTGTTTATATTCTTATACTTCAAAGTGTTGTAGTTCAACAACTTATATCTGTGCATGTGTAGCTCATACCACTGTAATTGTAAGGTCTACACTACTGTTCATTGGTAAGATAACAAACTGTCTTCATATTTCGATAGTTCATATCACTGTTTATATAGTTTGTGCCATTGTTTATATTCTTATACTTCAAAGTGTTTAAAGCATAAATAATTCAACTTTATACACCATCTTGATAACAACCAAACTTTTCTCATTGGTGGAATAAATAATCTGATACATTTGTTAATAATATTTTGATATGGTTGACAAAGTTTTACTCAGAAATTTAAGTCCATGATTTCTCTCCCTTATTCACTTAATTTACGCCTTTTTTTTATCAGTTGAAGTCTGAATCAATCAATGTATTAAAAATAAATTTTTAGAACTTCTCTCCAGGATATACATTCTTGCTCATGTTATTACATTTTTCTATAAACACCATTTATTTATACAGTTTCAAGGGTTTCATTTTTTAATTGATATTTGATTCTCTTCTCTTGTTATTTTTTTATAAACATAGAAAGCTTATTCTGGAATTCCTTTTTTGATAGTTAAAAGAAGATATCAGTAAATAATTAACTTTCTCATGAAAAACTAAGAATTAATTTAACATAATGTTTTGGGACAACATTATACCTATTGGTCCATCTCAGCTGTCTCATACTCTAAACTAAACTAAAACTATTATAAAAAAAACTTAAAGCCAGCCCTTATCATTCATATACTTGTCAAGCTTTCTCTTAAACTCACTTAAATTTACTGCCTCCACAACATCCACAGGCCAACCACTTTGTTAGAAAGATAAAACTGTCTTAGCTGAAAATGACTCCTACCTTGCAAAAATTTATATTTCTGTCCCCTAGTATTACTATTCTCACTGTTTAGTATGATACATCAACACTATCATTTCCTTTACAATCTTAAACAACTCAATCAGATCCCCTCTAACTCTTCTTTTTCAAGAGAAAACAATTTGAGAGATTTCAACCTCTCCTCATATGACAACCCCTCCATCCCAGACGCCATTCTAGTAACCCTTCTCTGAACTCTGATAATATTTCTCTTGGGGAAATATTATCTGGCCCAGGAGCCTTATTGTTATTTAAACTTCCCAATTTTTTCTTAACAAGCTCAGAATTAATGCAATCATCTTATTTGATCTTGTTTCCACCTATCAACAAG